AAAAACAACAACACTGGGCTATGAACTGCAAGGTCAGTGGGTCAAACCATCCAGCAGCTCCAGGGAGAAAGATGAAGATTTCTGCTATTGTAAAGATTTGCGGTCTTGGAAACTCTATGGGGAAGTTTTCCTCTGTTCTTTAGGATCACTCTGAGTATGAGTTGACTGAATGACGGTGGTTGGAACAGGGGGAAGTACATTCCAGGTAGAGGGAATAACACAAACAAAGAAAGGAAGGCAAATCCCTGATGTTTCTTGAGAGTAAATAGTTTGACTAGATTTGTCAAAAATAGAGCAAAACATCCCTCAAATGTTTCCTAGCATTTGGATTTGCCTTTTTAGCATTTTGGATCTTGTATTTTTGTGTTTAGAATTTGCATTTTGGTGAACGCTGGCCTCGAACCTGTTATTGAGCGTTAGCTATGCCATGAACAAGCTGCGCATAGCAACTGAGGCCAAGACTGGACATGTGACTACATCTTCATCACCAAGCTGCCAACTTGCGGAAGGCTCTCCCCCCAAGAGGAAGAACCTCCCTGGGCAGGGAGTACACGGTGTTTTGTCAGGGCTCTCAGGAACACAGGGAGTGTTGCTTGCGTGTTTGCTGCTGTTCTTCTTTGTAAATCCTGATATAGCATGTAGCTTGGTTTTACACTTTTACACACGAGAACACCCCCATGCTCCATCACTATCGGAGCTGGCTTCCTGTGCCTTGGGCAGGTCTCTTGTGTTTCCCACCCTTAGAGAATGTTTCTTTTGCTGAGAAGTTAAGCGGGACTGTGACCCCAACTGCCACCCCACATTTTTGTTCCTAATAGCAGTGAATAAAAAGTGCTTCTAAGGACAGGAAATTCGCCTCCCCCTGAGATGACTCATTCTATTCCCAGGACCCAAAACCTTTGAAGTTGTGGAAAATATGTATGCAATGAAACATGTGCCATTTCTCCATCCTTCACATGTATAATTCAGGGGCATGAATTGTATTCACCACATGCTCCAGGACCACATCTCTTAGGACCCTGTTCTCCACCTTTCCTGGAGTCCTACTAAAACTACTTAACATGATTGGATCTTTAGGACGAGGGAGCTTCCAAATGTTTGTGGAAAAACTCCATTATCATTCAGTTTCATTTTTCCAAGAGATTTCTTTTTGGAAACCCCCCCGGATGTGCCAACACAACTCTAAACACGTACCATGTGTCACCGCAGAATATAGGTGGGAAGCAGCAGCTTTGTCTATTGGCCCCATTACTCAGTTAGATAAATTGAGGCATGGAGCCGGTTAGAAACTTGCCCCAGGGCACACAGGTCATCCGTGGTGGCCGCAGAGCCTGGGCTGTCAACGACCAGGCTTCCTGCTCACTGGGGGGCTGGAGGCAGGTGACTGTGACTTCTGATTGTCAAATCTCCGGGGGAAAACCCTCATGATCGTCTTTGTCTTGGCTCTTCTTTTTCTGTGTAGTGGAAAGAACACAGCCCGGTAAGATTCCGGGCCCACCTTCCACAGGAGCTGGGCAAAGGACTTGATAGCTGCCCTGGGTTTCTGGCTTGTGGCATGGAGTGGTAAGGCCCCACAAATCTCGTGAGGATTAAAGAAGCAGAAGAATTCTTTAGGGGAAGAGTTAGAGACAGAAACTTCCAGAGGAGTCCCTGGGCCTGGATGGAGCCTTTGCCAAGGAAACAACAGCTTCACCTTTGGATAGTTTTGTTTCACAGAGGTTTCTATGAGTTAAGAACCAGCCTTTTGGGCTCAACCTTGTATTTCTGATGCTGGGTCAGGCATTGTTGCAGTGCTGGGCTGAGACGTGAACTGGAGGAGAATCCTGCCCTCAAGGGGGTGGGGGTGGGAGGGGTGTTTTTAGTTGGGGAAGTGTGGCTGAGAGGAGAGAAAAGAGCGGAGCGCACTGGGCTGTGGGGAGATGATTAGTTAGGGGTGGATGTTCCTGTCGGGGCTTTGAGCTAGAGCAGTGGCTCTCAACCTTCCTCATGCTGCGACCCTTTCATACAGCTCCTCATGGGGTGGTGACCCCCAACCATCACATGATTTTTGTGGCTACTTCATCACTGCCATGTTGCTACTGTTTTGGATCAGGCGACCCCTATGAAAGGGTCGTTTGGCCCCCAGGTTGAGAACCGCTGAGCTGGGGTATTTGGCATTAGAAGTGTGCCAGGGCAGTGAGTGAACTGGGAGAATGGATCCACTCAGTAACTCTTATTGAGCACCTCCTGTGTGCCGAGTTCGGGGGTACAGGCGTGAAGGACACAGTAGAGTCCACAGTTTAGTAGGAAGTCGTCATAGACAGCATACCCTGAGTGTCTCAGTTTCCGAATTTCCAGGAACTCTTTGAAGCCCTCTCACATTTACTGAGCACTTGGCAAGGACCCTTCATGGTCTACCGGGTTACACACTGGGCTACTAATCACAGGGTCAGCAGTTCGAAACTACCAGCTGCTCTGAAGGAGAAAGATGAGACTTTTTATTCCTGTCTCAGAAACCCAAGGGGGCAGTTCTACCCTGTCCTGTAGGGTCACTATGAGTCAGCATCGACTCGATGGCACTGAGGTTTTCTTTTTGGTGTTTCTGAGAAGGTAAGCATGTACAAACCTCTCTCCTGTATCATCTCATTGACTTACCACAGTCACCACAGGAAGCTAATTCAGCCATCTTCCTATTTTACAGACAATAAAACTCAGATCGGAAGAGATTAAACGCCTCCCTGCTGAGGACACGGACACCTGGAGGAGAATCCAGGTATGTGTGATCCACAGTGCAGGTTCTTTTCCAAACACGGCTCCTTCTCCTCACACGCACGCGCGCATTCCGCCATGCCTTCCCTCGGGGTCACCTGGTGAGTGACAGCTGTGCCTCAGTCACTGCTCAGCCGGGCCTCCTCCTGGCCTCAGTGTAGACATAAGAGTGTGGATTAACTCTCTCAGGGGAGAAACGGGTCGACTCCAGAGGGCAGGTCCCTGGCAAAACGCCTTCATGGAGGGGGTAAGGAGATGCCAGGGAGCAGAGAGCGAGGGCCTGGGCAGCCGGAGGGCAGAGGAGGCGGAGAGCGTTTGGAGGAGGCAGCAGTGGTCAGCTAGGTGGTGTCTCCAAGAGGTGGAGGGGGTGAAGCCTGAACTTGTCCAACACCAGATTTCTTGGCCACCCAAGGGAGCTGGATTTCACTGGCTAAGTCTTGGAAGGAGAAAGCCATCCCTTTCTTCCTAGTCTGTCTCCATCCGGAAGCTCCGCCCCGATAGCTGCCCATCATGGTGACCTTGCTGGGCTTCCACAGCAAAAGCCCCACAGTCCCACAGACGTGATCGAGGGGTGGTACTACAGGCAGCAAGGAACCCACATCCGAGGGGCTTCACCAAGTTTGGGGGGACATGGAAAGGAAAGAGAATGGCGTTTCCCCACACCCATATCGAAGCCCCCTCATCCACCGGTGCACTGAGGATGGCTCGGGCATTGTGCTATATGGACAGTTGCCATGCCGCTAGCAGGAGCTCAGGCTCCGGGATGGGGCCTGGGCAGAAACCAGGCAGCAAAGGGTTAAGGAGTGGGCAGTGAGGACATGGAGGTTTCTCTGGGCTTTGAGGGAAAAGCAAAGCTGGGGAGTGAGGTCAGCAGAGGCCAGGAAGTGGTTTGTTTTCCTTCTCTGGGCTCTGCTGGGTGAGGGTGGGGAGCCCTGTGTCTGCTTGTCTGGCGAGGAGGGAGCCGGGGGAGGAGGCGGTGTGGACAGGCAGGGCAGAGAGCATGCACCACTGCAGGACACATCTCCCGGTTCTCCATGTAGCTGCAGTCTGTTGCCCCTGCCCACAAAGGAAGCACCCACCTTGGGGAAGGACTCCGTGTGTCCCCAGCAAGGCCTGGTATGCGGTAGGCTCTCAACAGATACTGCTTTGCCGGAAGTCCCTCGTTCACTCCTGGGTTACAGAAAACCAAAACCAAAACCAAAACAGCCCAAATACTTGCATGGTACTGAATTGACCCAGTTGCCCCGAGATCCTACCGGTTAGACAGGAGGGAAGAGGAGATTGAGGGGGCCTGAAGGAGGGGTTACTCTGCTGGGAGGGGAGAGACGGGGAGGAAAAATCAACTGTGGGCGGAGGAAGGAGTCTACATGCACATCTTCTCAGAAAAGAGTGTCTCTGGGGCAGAGGAGAGAGGGGGCACAGAGGGGAGAATGAGAGTGAAAGTCAGTACCTGTGTCCCAGCGGGGTCGGGCAGCTGTGCTTACCCATCTGCAGGGTCGCTACGCATCAACTCAACAGCTGTGGGTTCGGTTAATGTCCCAGTGAGCACATTCTGTCAGGTTAAGTAACAATAAAAAACAAACTGACACGGGGAGTCCACGTGTGTCAGAGTAGAACTATGTACTACAGGGAAGAACAGAGTAGTTCTCTGTGTAACACACGGGCCCAACGTCATCAGTTCTCTCTGCAACACACGGACCTGATGTCATGTTATCAGTTCTCTCTG